AGGATTGTTTGTCTTTTTGTTGTAGAGGAGTTGGATTTTCTTGTAGATTATGGAGATTAGACCTTTGTCTGATTTGTACTGTCCAAAAATTTTTTCCCTGTCCTCAGTTTTCAAAACAGACTTTGTAATGGAATGTGTTGACCTTTTGCTTTGGGAACTGGTAGTGGTGGGTTTCATGGCCATGGAGAAGGATTTGGATGTGGGTGCTCTAGAAAAGGATCTGGGGTGATCCCAGTGTTACAGACCTGAACTTGCCACTCCGTGTTCCTTTGGAGGCAACAGTTAAGATAACAGGCGCCCGGGGCTGATGGAGCCAGGGCCAAGCCTGTAGAGCACAGAGAGGGTATGGGTTCTCGAGACTGCTTGGAGGGACCCGAGCAAGGGCAGCCTGAGCACAGTGGCCTCCTGGGGACAGGCAGGCGCATCCAGGGCTGTTTCCATGGAGTGTCCCTGGGGGGCCTCGGAGGACAGCGGAGACCAGCATGGCAGGTGCTGGGCCTGAGGCGGGCTGTAGGCTGTAAGGCCAAGGGAGATTGGGATCGAGAAGACTTCTGCAGTGGGAAGTGTACAGAAGGGTGAGATCCGAAGGGTGTTTGGTCTGCAGAGTAGGTATTCATCAACATGTGGATAGATGGACAGGTCAAAGAGGGAAAGAGAAGGTTTGCTCGGTGGGAGATGGGGAAGGACCTTTGTCAAAAATCCCCCTCAGAGTGGCTAAGGTTTCCCTTTTAAAAAAAAATATGTTGCTCGTGTCCTGTGTAACAGTGTTTGTTCAATGTGCTGATTAATTCTAAGTAATTTCCTATGCCCTTTGTAAAGATGGAAGAACAAAAGTCTTATTTTATGATTTTATTTATTTATTTTTTTAGGTTAAACTTGAAGCCTCGTCTGTTTGCTTTTGCACCGTGCACCATGATGAACCTCAGCATAAGATACTGGTTTTGGTTAATCCCCGGGACACAAAGACAGGTTGGTACTTATCAGTGGATTTTCAAAAGAGGGAGCCTGAGTTAATTGTGTCCAACGAGTGGAATCCAATACCGAGTAAAGTGGTGGTTGTATGCTTAGGCTGAACTTAGAAGAACATCAAGGGAGGACTGAATTTTTTTTTTTCCTCAGCTTTTAGGGATCTAATGGAGCCCTGGTGTCGTAGTGATTAAGAGCTCGGCTGCTACCCAAATGTCAGCAGTTCGAATCCACCAGCTACTCTTCGGAAACCCTATGGGGCAGTTCCACCCTGTCCTATAGGGTCGCTGTGAGTCAGAATTGACTCGATGGCGATGGGTTTGGTTTGTTTTTTTTCAGGGATCCAATAGTGCATTATTATTTCTGCTTATTGACACATACATTGATTTTTGTATTAAAGACACTAGATGCCCTCATCCACAGTGACCGTGCTTAGAGGTGCTTTTGAGGGTAGAACTTGCTGTTCTTAACATGGTACTGGGGGAGCACCTAAGTTGGAGTGTCACAGGGACCAGTCTTATCCCCAATATACAGATGAGGAAATGAGAGCCAGAGTGGTCAAGGAACTTGCCCATAGCTGCATAGCTAGGACACAGTAGGGATTTTGCGTGGTGACGACTGGGTAGGGGTTTTGTTCCTGGTGCTGAAGATTATGTAATCTGTGAGTCATTTGTTCTTTCTCTGCGTTAAGAGAAGGCCATTTGTGACAGGCTGGAGTGAGTCCTCCTGAGAAGAGGCTTGGCCCTTGCTCAATTGCATATGGGGCAGCAGGTCTGCAGGCCGTTGCAGTGGGCAGCGTGAGGTGAGGGGGAAGAGAAGGTTCCAGCCTGCCAGTACCCCCGAGCCCTGGAACCAGAGCACCCTCTGGTGAACATCATGCAGAACGCCTCCCTGACCTTACGGGGTTCTCAGTTTAAATTCTGTCCTATTAGAAATGTCTTCCATTATTATACCTCTCTGTGTTTTCTAGATTTCCTACAATGAGCATGTGTTGCTTCCCTAAAAAAATAAAAAAAAAAAATCTTAATGAATCACCTTCCTTAAATGATATGGTAGGTGGTGACATTTTGGGGTTATACCAAAAACAAGCAAATAAGCAAACAAACTCGATGCCATCAAGTCGATTCCAACTCATAATGACTGTATACAACAGAGGAGAACTGCCCTGTAGGACTTCCAAGGAGCATCTGGTGGATTCAAACTGCTGACCTTTTGTTTAACAGCCGAGCTCTTAACCGCTGTGCCACCAGGGCCCTGTGGCAGTAGGAAGACATTTGGAAACTTTGTTTAAAGCGCTATTATACATAAGGAAAGCTCCATACTGAGATTTCCTGGAGCTTATGAATATTTATTATGTATATTCTTAGGGTTATAGACTGTTAAATATAATTTGCAAAGGGGGTGTTCTTTCCACCAGGGAGGTGAGGAGGTGAACATGGCTCTGACCTGCGTGTCGGCCTGAGGTTCCTACTCAGAGGACGCCCTGCTCGGTTGGTGTCACCAAGCCCAAGGTGGACCTTTCTGGGGAGAGTTGGTCACCCTTAAGATTGTCCTTAATGTCTTCCTTGTTGCTAAATATGAAACATGAGTGTGCTTAACTAGCTGCTGGGAGTGTTTGACTTGTTGGCAAAGCCTCCTCTTTGCTCCAAGATTGGGGATGGCTGAGCTTTGTGTAGGAGACTTCAGGTTAAGGTTTAGGACATTGCCTGTCTCTGTCTGGCTGAGCCGGGGTAGCCCCGGGCCTTTGACTTTGCCCAGAGTTTGTGATGAGCTTGTGACCACGTTAGTAAAGGTAACAAGGTGTGCCTGCAGGTGCCCCTCAGTGAGAAGATTGTCAAAAACGTGGAAAATATCATGTGCTGATTTTAAGAAAGTGTCCAAATATCAGCAGGTCCCTGCCCACTTTTATACATTTAACAAAATTCTGGTTATAGGTCTTTAACTACAATTTGCATAATGTAAACATGTAATGCAGACGTATGAACATATGAGTGACTCTTACAAATCTGTTTCCTGTTTATATTGGAATTAATTTTTTATTGTTTTTAAGAATGCGCTATAATAAATATTCATAAGCTCCAAGGAATCTCAGTATGGACCTTTCCTTATGTATAACAGGGCTTTAAATAAAGTTTCCAGATGTTTTCCTACTACCACGAGCTCTATTGTGGTGGCTGTGATTTTAAAAAAGCACTCAGGTGTTAACAGTGCCTCGGGATTTTTTTCATTCAGTATTTAAAGCGTACGTGAGTGTTTTCCCAAATGTTATTGCACATACACTGAGCGTGTCTGTAGTTTGAATCCTGTGGACTCCGCAGCAGCCTTTGGCATAAAGGATGCTCTTCACAGCTTTGACAAATGTGTCCCCTCCCCCTTCTGCTTAAAACTGTGACCTACAAAACTCTTGATTCCTTTGTAATTTTCTTCTAGAAGTTAGCTTTGTGAAGGTTGTGTGTGTGTTTACAAAGAAACTAAAAGAATCATAAGTTATTTGGTAAGCCGTGTGTATGAGTTCATTACTGATCAGCCGATTGGATCCATCACAATAACTTCTGATAACCCTGTGAGCAAATGAAAAACATCCTGGAGTTGTGTTCCCCAGTTGTAGGAGATAATGTTGATTGCCATCTGCTGTGCCTTAGCCTTCTAGGGCTCCCATAATGAATTACCACAAAGTTGGTGGCTTTAAAGAACAGAAATGGATTGCTTCACAGTTCTGGAAGCTAGAAGTCAAATCAGGGTCTTGGCTGTGCCAGTTCCTTCTGACGGCTCCTGGAGGGATACTGTGCCTTGCCTCTCTCCTAGCTTCTGGTGGCTGCCGGCAATCCTTGGCATTCCTTTGCTGCTTGTAGATGTACCTTCATGTGGCGTCTTCCCCTGTGTGATTCTGTCTCCGTGTCTGTTCTCCTCATTTATAAGACACTGTTTGGAAGAGATTGAGGAGCCCTGGTGGACAGTGGTTAAGCGGTTGGCTGCTAACTCTCCCTGGGCAGAGGCTGGTGTTTAAATCACCTAGGGGACCTGGCTGGAGGCTTCTAGGAAACTTCCTCCTTGGGTTGGCTGTCTACCTCCCAAGGGCCTTATTTTTTGTTTATTTCCCCATATTTCATTATTCCTCTTATTTGCTAATTATTAATTGATGTCATGTCTTTATATCATTGTCACCACCATTAGCTGTCAAGTTGATTCTGACCCATGGTGACCCCATGTGTGTCAGAGTAGAACTATGCTCCATAAAGCTTTCAATAGCTGATTTTTTTGGAAGTAGATTTCCAGGCCTTTCTTCTGAGATACCTCAATGATGAAAAAATAAGTCCTCTCATCAGAAAAGTTGTGATTTTTGCATCTCCTGTATTAAATCAGGACCACTTATCCTAGTATTCAAGATTCCCATCAACTATGGGCCTTTACTTTTCTCTTCTCATTTCTTCCTGTGCCCTGTGGGGGATGAGCCTGGACTTTGGCGTCTGATAGAACTGACTTTGGATCCTGGCTCTGCCAACTTACTGGGTGAGCTAGGTAAGTTATTTACCCTCTCTGAGTATTACTCTGGTCATTTCAAAAGAGACAGGAGAGCTTATCTACTTTACAGGGTGGTCGTGAGAATGAAATGATAGGAGGCAGGACATTTGATGCTTTGGAGACGCCAGGGCAGGTTGTTGGTATGAAATTGGCAGAACCCCCTTCTTTCACCATGGCACACCTTTGTGTGTTCTTCCTCTGGGCCTTTGTGCGTGTTCTAGAAGTACAAGATTTTAGAGGTGGTGACCTTCTGGCTGAACTTTGGGAGCTGAAATTACTGCCCCAACAGGTTCTGCTTGTGTACATCAGGGACTAGAACACAACGTCACACAAGACAATCTAGCTTGTTTTTCAGCCACCTTAATTGTTAGAAAGTGGTTCCTTATCCTGGCCCAGAAGCCTCATTGGATAGATGCCATGCACTCAATCCAAAAACATTAACCCATCAAGAGTGGGCTGCTGAGGGTGTGGCTTTACACCAGCCTGGGTAAAAAGACACAGTGGTTTGGCAGCCAGAGAGCGGAGGTGACCTGGGGCTGCGTTAATGGAAGGATGGTGGCCCAGCTCAATTACAGCTCATTTCTCCTTGGTGCTGCTCAGCTCATGTCTGTAGCAAACTGGAGCTTATCCATGGAGAGTGACTGGGATGACGAAAGGGCTTGAAACCATTTGAGTGACACTTGAGGAAACCAGGTCCTCCAAGGGAAGGGATGGTGTAGGGCTCATGGCTGAGAGGGCATTTAGATCATTATTAGGTCCAGGTCCAGTGTTTTCCAAGATGATTTCAAGTGATATGTCTGGATTTCAGAAGGAAATCCTAAATATCTCAAGGAAAAGGTTTCTATTTCCTGCTTGTTGTCATTCTTAGCTGCTGTAGAGTCGGCCTCAAACTCATGGCAACCCCATGCACAGTGGAATGAAATCCTGCCTGGTCTGCGCCATCCCCATGATCAGTTGTGGACTGGGCTGTTGTGATGCACAGGGTTTTTTTTTAGATCCATAGAGGTTTTATTGGTTGAGTTTTGAAAGTAGATCGCTAAGCCTTTCTTCCTAGTTCAGCTTAGTCTGGAAGCTCCACTGAACCTGTTCAGCATCATAGCAACATGCAAGCATCCACTGACAGATGGGTGGTGGCTGCACTTGAGGTGCATTGGCCAGGAATTGAACGTGGGTCTCCTGCATGGAGACTGAGAATTCTACCATTGAACTGCCAGTGCCTCTCAGTTTCCTGCTATGTCTTTAATGCTTTTCTAACACTTGTTAACCTCCTTTTTTTTTTTTTTTTAACAAAAACAAAGTAAGCTTCCCAGCTGAGTGCCTCTAACTTGAGTTTAATGTTTTGTCTTTGTGAGATTTATTTTCATAATTATAGCAACGATGCTTCATTTGTGATAGGGCTGATCAGACTATAGGTGGTGATGGGAGATGTCAAAATCAGGAAGCATGGCCTCTACATCCTGGGAGAGCCTGTTCTTTCCTGG